TCTGTTGTGTCCTTATTATTTTTTTACATAGGACAGAAAAGCAGTAATCCAGGTTTTGACAGTACTTTGTTAGACTTTGTTTCAGGGATGTTTTTTCTTTCTATTTTTTTGAGACAGAGTCTCGCTTCTGTTACCCAGGCTGGAGTGCGTTGGTTGTGGTCTCAGCTCACTGCAACCTTTGATTCCTGGGTTCAAGTGATTTTCCTGCCTCAGCCTCCCAAGTACTGAGATTACAGGTGTGTGCCACCATATCCAGCTAATTTTTGTATTTTTAGTAGAGACGGGGTTTGCCATTCTGGCCAGGCTGGTCTTGAACTCCTGACCTCAAGTGATCCCCCTGCCTTGGCCTCCCTTTAAAATGCTGGATTACAGGTGTTAGCCACCACGCCTGGCCTAGGAAGTTTTTTTTCTTATTTTTTAAAAAAGTTCTGATTTTCACAAATGAATAGTGAATGGAAGCACTTAAAATCCTTATATCTTGTCTTTAAAGTGTTCTTTTTTTCTCTTTATTTTATTTATTTATTTTTGCCTTTCACCTTCCCCCATGCTTGACAAATCCCAATTAGATGATCAATGCACTTATACTGCTGATTATTTTTAGTTTCAATATCAATGCCACAGAACCGTAGAAAATAAGATTTGATCTCTTCAGGCTATAAACTGTTACCTTTATTATTTTTGTCCTTCTAAATAATTTGGAATATTATCATTCTCATTAGAGTACCCAGCAGATATGAAGGAAAATATATAAGCTTAGTGAAATTTGACTGCTCGCTTTAATTGTTCATTGGGAAATGAAAGAGGTCTGGCAATGTTGAAGTTTGTTACAGACAAAAATAAAAATGAAGCGGAATCTAGATGAATAACCATTTTGTACCTTTAATAGTTTTTTTCTTCCTCTGTTCCAAAATTTTGCAGATACTGTAGCCTGCTTTTTACTCTGGTGATAAAGAGGAGGCTTCTGAGAAGCTTGGTAGAAATAATGTGGGAACATGGAGAAGAACTGAATTGAGGTCAGGGAAGCTATAAACCTTTGAGTGCTTTTGTGATGTGCTGTGCTCTGTGGGAGGCTGTGTATGAGTTCAAGCTTGAGAAACTTGCTTGATAAAAATGTGACTATTAACACTTACTGTTCCTTCCTCTTAAGAGCCTCTTGAGAAGATGAATTTTTATTTAAATGCTGTTTTGTCACTTTTTTTCTGATTACAGATATTTTGTCCTTAGAATTATACCTATCCCTCACAGATAACCTGAAACATTAATATAATAATAACAGAATTTGTTGCAAAGATAGGAATTTACTGGTGATTCCTGATAAATTGCAATCTCTAGTTTGTAAGGAAAATAGTCTCTATCTTTGGCTGCTTTTTTTTTTTTTTTTTTGAGACGGAGTCTCACTCTTATCAATAGGCTGGAGTGCAGTGGCACAATTCCAGCTCACTGCAACTTCCGTTTTCTGGTTTCAAGCAATTCTCCTGCCTCAGCTTCCCAAGTAGCTGGGACTACAGGCATGCACCACCATGCCCGGTTAATTTTTTGTATTTTTAATAAAGACAGGGTTTCACCATGTTGGCCATGATGGTCTCGATCTCCTGACCTTGTGATCCACCTGCCTCAGCCTCCCAAAGTGCTGGGATTACAGGCGTGAGCCACCGTGCCCAGCCTATCTTTGCCTTCTTTAGCCTTGTAACATGATTGATATTATACAGACTGTCCTCAGTTTCTTGACTCTTATTATGACTTGAACACCTGCTCTAGAAAGGCTTTTGTCCCCTTTACTCCAAGGAAACTGCTGTGATCCAGATTGCAGGTGGCCTCCACTTTTTAAAATCAAGTATTATTTCCCAGTCTTCATTTTACTGGGCCTATCAGCAGCACTTAATATGGTTAATTGCCTTCTTTTCCTCCAAGTACTTTGTTTATTTTGCATCCTAGGACTTTATGGTCACTTGGTTTTTGTCCTATCTGTCTTTCTTGCCTCTCCGTGGAAGGTATTCCTCATATCTACAGTCCTTTAGGGGCCAATTTCTTGGACGTCTTTTTTATCTACTCTCTTGTTCTTGGTCATGTCTATTCCTATAACCTTTAAAACTATCTGTATGCTGTAAACTTCTATATTTATGTCCTTGTTTGTATCTTTCCCCTAAATCTCAGACTCTTATTAGAGTAGCCTATTCATTGTCTCTATTTGGATGTCTAATAGGCATCTCAAACTTAATATGTCCACAGCTGAGCTCCTGATACTAACCTGCTCTGCTCTGAGTCATCATCATCCAGTAAATAGCAACTACATCCTTCCAGTTTAGGTCACTTGCATTCGTCTTGGACTCCTTTCTCTCACATCCCATATCCAAACTGTCAGCAAAGTCTTGCTGATTCTATCTATAAAATATATTCAGATCCCAGGCAGGGTGCAGTAGCTCACACCTGTAATATCAGCACTCTGGGAGGCCAAGGTGGATAGATTGCTTAAGCCCAGGAATTCAAGACCAGCCCGGGCAACATGGTGAAAACCTGTGTCTACTAAAAATATAAAGAATTAGCCAGGTGTGGTGGTACACACCTGTAGACCCAACTACTTGGGAGACTGAGGTGGGAGAATCAACTGAGCTTGGGAGGTTGAGGCTACAGTAAGCCCAAATCGTGCCACTGTACTCCAGCCTGGGTAACGAGAGTGAGACTCTGTCGTTCAAAAATAAATAAACAAAATGGAGTTCAAATTCCAACACGTCATCTTTTCTATTACCGTTACACTAGCTCAAACTACCATTATCTTTTGCCTAGATTTTCCTCTTCAGAGTCTCTTGAGTCTGTTTCTAGTAGCCACGTAACTAGTTCCTTGTAACTAGATATCTAACTGCCTCCTAACTAGTACCCACAAAAGTCTATAATACCTGTAGCTAGCAGTTAGATTATGTTACTTCTATGGTCAAATGCCTCCAAAGGCTTCTAAATTGCTTAAGAATAAAAGCTGAAGGCCTTCTTAAGACCTGAGAGACTCTGCATGATATCCTGCTTGTAGTCATTCCACACTGACATTGTCTTCTATTACTCTCTAACTTGGGTAAATTTTTTCCAGCCACATTGGCCTTCTTGCTGTTCTTTGAACATGCCAGGTCTGGTCTCCCTGTATGGCCTTTGCACTTGTTTCTCTCTCTAGAATATTTTTTCCAAAGATATCTACATGACTCCACTTCTTTCAGGTAAGTACTGTATGTTCAAATGTTAGCATGCTTGCTTATCGTGGTCTTCTTTGAAGACTACCTTATCTAAACCTGATCTCTTTACTCTTCCCTCAACATTTTCTATCATCTATCACCAAATATCGCTCTATTTGCGTTGTCTCTTATTTCTTTTTTAAAATAAAAATTATTTATTTTAAAGACTGGTTCTTGTTCTGTTACCCAAGTTGGAGTACCATGGTGTGATCATAGCTTACTGCAATCTGAAATTCCTGGGCTTACGTGATCCTCCCAGGTAGCTGAGACTACAGATGTGTACCACCACACTCAGCTAATTAAAAAAAAAATTTGTGGAGACTGGGTGACACTAAGTTGTCCATGCTGATCTTGAACTCCTGGCCTCAGGCGACCCTCCCTCCTCAGCTTCCCAAAGTGCTGGGATTACAAGTGGGAGCCACTGCACCTGGCCCTTGTCTCTTATTTCTGCCATACTAAACATTGTACTTTTTCTGCATTAGAATTAAATTGCTCCATTAAATGGACTTTTGTCATCTTTGATAAACTGTACGCCCAATATTGAGAACATTGTTTAGTAAATAGTAGGTATTCACAAAAAATTAGCTGGGCAGTAGGTATTCACAAAAAATTAGCTGGGCATGGTGGTAGACACCTATAATCCACCTAGTAGGGAGGTTGAGGCAGGAGAATTGTTTAAACCTGGGAGTCAGAGGTTGCAGTGAGCTAAGATTGCACCATTGCACTTCATTCTGGGCAACAAGAGTGAAACTCTGTCTCAAAAAAAAAGATACTGGGTATTCAATAATTATTTGTTTAGATAGAAATGTGCTAGAATTTTTTAAAAATTTATCTTTAATTCTTTGAGATGCGTTCTTTTTATTTCGAAAAAACTAGTAAAGCCAAGAAAAGAAAACTGTAACATGCATATATGAAATCAGAAAACTCTTACCCATCCTTTATATAATCCAATTTCTCCGTTAAGCCTTCCTATCATAGAAACTATAATAATGCCACACTTTCATAATGTTCCTTCGCTGAATATCTATAGCACTTATTACCACATAATATATTTTGTGTGTGCATGTAATATAGTTTAAGTGACCCATAAGTCACTGTTACGAATTGACTCTCAGTAAATGTTTTGAATGCATAAATATCAAGTATTGATTAAGCATGTGGTCAGTGTTGTAGGCTGACAGCATTTAGGACATAGACCCATTCTCAAGGAATTTCTACTTCTAATGGAGAAAGGTGATGAATGTATGTATTCAGCAGTTGATTCATACTACTGTATACAGTTGTAGTGCATTTAGAAATATGTTTGTTACTTGTTCCCAGTTTCTGGCAGAGAGCTTCTGATATCCTTGGAATTTCTTGAGTGATAGGGGTGATAGGAGTGTCATTTGTTCTATGAGGCAACCCTTGGTGGCCTTCTGGGTAACTTCAGGATGTTAACTGGTCACCAGAAAGACCAAATCTTGATTATAAATTTGGAACATTCTCATCTTCATGCCCTAACCTGCGGGGAGGGGAGAGTCACTGGAGATAGAGTCAATTACCAGTGGCATATGTAACTAAACCTCTATAAAAAGGCTGGGTTGGGTGGCTCACGCTTGTAATCCCATTACTTTTGGAGGCCAAGATGGGTGGGTGCCTTTGAGCCGAAGACTTTGAGACCAGCCTGGGCAACATGACAAAACCCCATTTCTACAACCAGTACAAAAATTAGCAGGGTGTCATGGCTCACACCTGTAGTCCCAGCTACTTAAGAGGCTGAGGCTGGAGAATTGCTTGACACAGGAAGCAGAGGTTGCAGTGTGCCAATATCCTGCCACTGCACTCCAGCCTGGGTGACAGAGTGATACCCTGTGTTAAAAACAAAACAAAACAAACACACACACAAACAAAAACAGAATCCTGTAAATGATGGAATTTGGAGAGCTGAGAGGGTGACACCCTGAGAGAGGGTATGGAAGCTCCCTTGTTTCCTACCTCACCCCATGCATTTCTTCTATTTGGTGGTTCTTGGGTTTTATCCTTTATAATAATCTAGTAAGTAAAATGCTTTCCTGAGTTCTGTGAGTTATTGCACCAAATTACCAAACCTGAGGAGGGGTCATGGGAGCCCCCAGTTTATTGCTGGTCAGTTGATCAGTCAGAAGATTGGGGAACGCCATGCTTGTGACTGGTGTTATGAAGTAACAGCAGTCTTGTGAGACTTAAATCTGTAGAGTCTGATGCTAACTCTAGGTAGTTAGTGTCAGAATTGAATTGAATTGTAGAGCACCTTGTTGATATCAGAGAGTCGGAGAAATGGTATTGGTAAAGACATCATGTATTTGGTGTTAGGAGGAAGAAAGCTCCTGAATAATTAAGGACTGGGTTATGTGGTAATAAGTGCTATAGATATTAAGAGAAGGAACGTTATGAAGTGTGGCATTATTGTAGTTTCTATGACAGGAAGGCTTAATGGAGAAGCTAGATTAAATAAAGGATGGGTAAGAGTTGTTTGTGTTTGATGAATAGACTACAATCCAGAGAGGAGAATAATGTGAATGTTTGCCTGGAGACAAGAAATGTATGGTATGAAATGGAAATGCTTGGCACATTTTTATGCCATCTTTAAAACTTTCTCTCCATTTTCTGGTTGGTTACATTTTCAATTATGAGGCATTTATTTTTTGTGCATTAAATACATAACATTCTGCTGTATTGCCAGAAGTTACAGATGATATAATGATCTAAGTCTCTGCTTTATAGAAATTTTAAGTTTAATGGCTCTTTGGAGTCAATTCAAAAGAATAAATATGACTACACATACATCCTTCATATATGTTCAAAACTGTCTTAATATATTTTGTGTGTGCATGTAATATAAACTGTGTTGTAAGTTCTCCGGTATCCTAGGTTTATTAAGAGTAACTGATATCAAACTGATATATACCCAGGTTTAAAAATTGTTTACTTTTTTTCTCCCTGGCAATCTAGGGCATTCTACTTCTGGACTTGTTCACTATACTTTTTAACCTTTAATGGCAAAACCCAGCTCTCCCGATCAGCCTTCCTGAATCTTTGGACAGTATTTTTGGTTGCTTGTCTGTACATCATTTTACCAGGTCTGACTTTCTTACTTAAGATCTCACCAGTTAGTTTGACTAGTCATCAGTATGTACATTTAACATCTTAGATGTGTAGTCCACAGAACAGTGTTTAACAAGTAACAGGTGCTATATAAATATTTCTGAATATTTAGATGTCTGGTAGATGTTACTCACTTGGCTCTCCCCTGCTTCAAAAACACTTAAGCTGTTAACATTGAGAAGAGGATTGAGAGGAACAGAATACAAAGGTATTTATTAAGGTGATTATAATAGCCATAGAATAACTGAGGCCAGAGGACTGAAAGTAGTTGAGAGAATAAAAATAAAGGAAGAGAGTTGAGTGTGGCGGTACAAGGGGACCAAAGTCAGAGTTTTCTTTACTCCCACCGTATATTGGAGTTAACCCTTTTTGCTAACAGCTGGTTATAATGTGATTTTGTTGAAAATTTGGTGATGCTTGGAAAAGGAAAGCTGAAAAGAGGGCATTTAAGTAAAGCTTGAGAATACAGAGAGAAGAGAATTCAAAATGAGATAATTATGAAAAGGACTTAGGATCTAATGCAGGAGGAAGGGAGGAATAGTTGGTATTAGTTTCCATTAATATAGTACTTGCTGTATGCTACACATTGTCTTAATCTTAAGCACTTTATATGCATTAACTTATTTTGTTCCCGTGGAAACTTTATAAGTTCATTGCTATTTTTTTTTTCCATTTTATAGACCTGGAAACTGAGGAATAAAGAGGCTAGAAGAATTTCTCAAGCTCATGCATAGTGTAACTGATAACTGGCATTTGAACCCAGGTCCTATGACTCCAGAGTCCACTTTCTTTTGTGTTATACTGGGTCCTGGTGATAGAATCCGAGGACACCTTTAGGAGTTCCAGAATGAGGTGACTGTCAAGACTCAGTCTAAACCATGTAAAAAAGGGGGGTCTTCTAAATCTATGGATTTAAGAGAGCTTTAAGTTCGTTTGTATATACAATACTGTTTTACACGCTGCCTTTTTCTGTTTGTCCCTTTTTCCTACAATCCCTTTGCCACTTCACCTACTCTGTGCCTGGTTAATTCCTACTGTCCTTTTAAGGCGTAATTCTTCCAGGAAGTTTTCCCTGACCTCAAGCACTTTTCCTTTTACTTGTTTGTGTTAATAGGTTGTCTTCATAACTATTACTTGTATGATTCAATCTCCCTGAACCATGGTTTTTTTCATCTATAAATAGATACTGTTTTACCTAAAAGGGTTGTTATATGAATTCAGAGAAATTGTATGAAGCAGTTACCACGGTACCTTTTTATGTTTTCTTTACTAAACTTGGTTGTACCCAGTTGGTGTTAGGTAGACTTCAGTAGACAGTACAGTAATAAAGGTCAGTAACCTTGAGGCTCAGTCTTCAGGGAAGATACCTTCAATTAAAATATCCAGAAGCAATCTGCTAGTTCTCTCTCTTCTAAGAGTCAGTTGTCTGCTGGGTTTCTAAGAGGTGGATCATAGAAACTTTTTGTAAAGGCTGTATATCTACCATTATTTGGTGGAAGCTCAGAGAATATGTTTGAATTTTGTTGATTAGAAACATATGTATGTTGATGGAAACAATTCAGAGATAGGATTAAGTTGATGATGCAACTAAGGAAGAATTGTTAGCACTGTCTTTAGGTAGTAGCAGAGTTGGCCTTAGTACCATAGACTTACTCCCCAGTAACAGGAAAGAAGGAAGAGATACTGTAGGAAGATAAGTAGTGACAAAGAGGCGAGAGCTTGTGGAAATCTGATTGGTTTTGCTTTTCTTTTCTTTTCTCACATATTGTTAGAAGTTGTTCAATGTTATATAT